CTAATAAGCAAATTATATTTGATAAACATTTTATATAAAGATCGCTAAAAATACAAACAATTCGTCGAAATTCCACTTTTTGGTCGTCAATCCAAATAAACTCAAAGATGGAGTCATTCCTCTTATCGAAACCAAACACTCGTCCGTCGATCTCAAACATGCCTTTGAAGTTGACTTTTGCCACTTCAGTCCAGCCGTCAGCCCATTGACCGTTGGCCTCAAACTTGCGAGACATGAGGTGATCGGGCTGACTATAACTGTTGGCATCATAGAGTGCTAAAAGCAATTGATTTCTGGACCGCACGAAAACACCGGACTCGCAGTATAGCTCCCCTCCCTTCAGAGGTGGCCAGAAGTCATCGGATAAGGAGCCATTCGGCTTCAGATCCCACAAAATCTCTTCATTGCTGTCAGTAATCGGAGTCAAACTCTTGCCGTCCGACAGACGATAAGTAATATAACCATATCTTCTCTCATCGCCGACAGTCACCGATCGTCGGCCCACTCCTATCACTAAACTCTTGGCTTTCTCGATGACATCACAATAAGTGGCACTTTGTTTGCTTCGATCGCATTCCTCGAAGTCAAAGCTGATGGCAGTGTCGACCCAATAAAATGAATCTAATTATAAAATAAAACTTATAGTATTTCATTTGTTATCATAAGTAAGTGCAATGTTATACAAACCCTTTCCAAACACTGCTTTTTCATCGTATTTAATGTCACTGAGACTCTTGGAATAGGAGTCCAACTCCCAGACATTTGTGGATCCCTGACCCAAATAGACATATCGGCCCACATTGTATGCCGACTGGTAGGGTATTCTTGAGCTCGAGTTACAATAGTTTCCAAAAGCTGTTTTAATGATGTTTAATGTCGACAGACATAACAATATAATGTGTGTATTGATTAACATTTTGTTTTACCAACAAAACTCTATCAGACTTTAAACAATAAATGGCTAAAACAACACATGAATTAATTTAGCGATAAATAGCGTACAGAAAAATACTTTGCGATTAAATTGGCGAAAGTGTTGAATATATTTGTAAATTCAATGAAAT